GAGTCCACCTGCCTCACTGGGACACCTTAGGGCTCCTAGGGTTCTATTCTGCTGGTCTCCCCATTTCTCCATCTGGATTGCTGCTGTGAGCTTCCTCTTGCGCCGATGGCCACTTCTACACCCCAGGACCTCAGCATGCACACAGCTGGCCTGAGGCTTGGCCATGTCCACTTGACATGGCAAGCGTCCCCATGCAAGGAGAGAGCTGACTAGACAGTGAATACCAGCCTCCACTCTAGGCTTCTGTCCTGCCACAGACCCCATCTTGTCCAAGATTTATCCTTAGAGCTGCACCCCTCCTTGCTGCACCCCTCCTCCACCCCTCTTCACTCTCGTCTTCCTGTAGGCCCATCTTTGTCCTGTCCCTACTAATAGAAACTGAAAATACTTCTGCGGTGAATGGAATTTCTGGGCACAGAACTCACCCTTTCATTTTATTAAATCCAGAAAAGAGATTTTTCTTCCTAGCTTCCCCCTTTCCCTTGATGTCTTGAGATCTGAAATTGCTGGGCCACAGGGGTCCTTGCAATCACAGCTGGCATTGCGTCCAGAACGCTGTATAGTACAGGCAGGTCTGAGTGCAGCTGTGGTCTTTCTCCTTCTGAGACACTTCCCATTCCATTCCAACCACACAGACCTCACTCCCCACCACCCAACGCACCCTCCAGACTGTGGCCACAGCACTTCGGCACATGGATGTGGGGAGTCTTGGAAAAACAGACAGGAAGGCAGAGGAAATACATGCAGGGACATTATCTAAGGATGCTCAAGTCAAGCAGACTTGTGCATCTGGGTCTGGTTTGGCCTAGTTATGTCATCAGACCTTCTCTGGATGCAGGATGAAGGAAATAAATAGACATATGAGAACATATGTCCAGGGAGGCTTACTAGAGGAACTGCCAGTCACACACCATTTCTCTTGGTCCAGTGACCTCACATTCACTAACAAAGGATGGAAGAAGACCCCAGGTGGATGAAATGACTTCCGGCTCATGTCTCAGACTTCATCCTACATCCTGGAGGTAAGGCTGGGGCCTGAGACCATCAAGCCCCTGAAAACCAGAGCTGACATGAGATGCCCCACTTGACTTCTGAGTTCACCATGATGATGTATCTGGCAGAGACTCTTAGAGACAAGGAGGCCAGAACGACCCTTTAAGGAACAGATAAGGGAAGGAAGGGAAGAAAGAAAACCATCAGATGTGGTATGTCATGGGTATGCCCAGCAATAGTCACAGACCTGCATCTGCGATCACAAAGCTTAGAAAATGGAAAGATAGCTCAGCCACATTACTGCTCAAGGCAGACCTTAGCATCTTCATAATACAGTCAGGCAGCCATCAGCACTATTAATCCAGAATGACTGAGAAACCCCATAGCCTTGTAGTGATTTTCTCTTTCTCTGGGTCTTAGAAACCCCCAGTCAGCTTCAGGGCCCTCCAGACTCCACCTTTTCTGGGTTTCATCTATAGCTTGCACTTCTCTGCAAGGGGCATGTTTTGCTTTCATCTTCTTTCAGTGTTTTATAATCTTTGCTGCATCGACTCAGTTTACTATGAAGTATTTTGAGGTGCTGTCACAAACAAAACTAGTTCTTAGTGTCACTTTAAGTTACCAGTGTACAGAAATATAAGTAATTCTTTACTTGGCAAGCTCACAGCCCCCATGGCCTTGCCGAGTTGAGTCATTAGTTTTGCTGGAAGCTTTATGGAGACTCCTTACGATTTTTGCTGTTGTTTAAATAGCATTTCACAGTGTGTCTCAGACTGGCCTCAGATTCCTGGTAGTCCTCCTGCCTCAGCCTCTCAAGTTTGGGGATTATGTGTGTGAGCCACCACACTCAGCTTCTTGGGTTTTCTTGGTATAAAATCTTGTCATCTACAAATACATCTCACTTCTTTTCAATCTAGACATCTGGTGCCTTTTGTTTTTGGCCTGGATAAAATCTCCTACACAGTGATAAGCAGAAGTCTCAGGACACTGCATGTCCGTTGTTGATGACAGGCAAGGGATGAGTCAGCGCAGATGCCCTCAAGAGATGAATAGATAAAGAAAATACGCTCTGCACACAATGGCATTTCAGTCATGAAAAACAGCAATATTATAGCATTTGCAGGAAAGTGGGTGGAATTAGAGAACATCATCTAAATGAAATAAACCAGCTCAGACAAATGTTTTTTTCACATATGTGGAGCCTAGAACACACACACACACACACACACACACACACACACACGAAAGAAAAAATCCACAAGCATCATTAGTCCTGCCACACTAAAAATACCACACTAAATACCCCCATATACACACTAAACATCCCCCACATACATACCCACACACACTAAACATACCAACACACACACACCACCACACTAAACATACATACACAGCACAAACACACCACCACCACACACCACACCACACTCTCTACATATCACACACACCCCACATCTCTCTAACATACATGCTACACACCACATGCCACAAACACACATCATACATTTACATCACACAAAACATACCCCACATATCACACCATACATACACCACAAATCACAACCATCACAAAACACACCCATATACCATATCACACACATACACATATCAAAAACACACTAGAGTATGCCACACCACCTCTGTGTGAGTGTGTCATACATGCTCACATGCACACACTCACACACACACACAATAAATATAATTAGTAAAAATGTAAAAGGCACTTTCCAGAAGGAGCTGCAAAAGCTGCCACACTAGTTCTCCCTTGGCTGACATGGAGTGATTCGCTCTCTCACCAGGATGGGGTGAGAGCTGTGAAGGCTCCTATGACATCATCTTATGTCCTCAGACCCCTTCCCATTTTGGAGGTCAATGACAACACCATCTGTCTTGTCCCTTTTGAGAGTGATAGCAATGGTTCACTCTGCATTTATTCAGTACATCAGTTTTCTTGTTCTCTTAAAAAAACCAATTTCCATTTTTCCTCTAATTTTTAAAAGACTTATTTATTTTTATTTTATATGTACGAATTGTCACCTGCATGCATGTGTGTGCACCACCTTTGTGCCTATGTCTGTAGAGAGAAGCCTTTTCCTTGCCAGCTGCTTTGGTTTTTCCCTACCAGTCGCCTGGTCTCTGCCACGTTGTAGTCCCCAAATAACACACAAGACGCTGTATTAATTATGAAGCTGTTGGCCTTGCTGTTCCATACTGGATAGCTCTGACTTAAGTATTTACTCCATAATTGTTAATCTAAGTATTTCTCTTACCAGAGAAAAGGGTCTGGACTTCTTACCCCTATGGCAGCTACATGATGACTCCCTGTGTTTCTCCTTCCCAGAATCCTGCTCGAGGACTCCTAGCCCCACCTATCTTGCTTTCCTATTGGCCAATATATGTCCCCTAGAGGCCAGAAGAGGGCTCTGGATCTCCTGGAACAGCAAGTAGGGGCAGTTGTGAGCCACTAAATGGGCATTGGAAACCAAGCCTGGGTCTGCTGCTGAGCAGCAAGCACTGTCAACTGCTGAGTCGTTGTCCTCTTTATTATCTTTATATTTTCTGTTTAGTGTGGTTTGTCCTAGTATTTATTACTTTATTCTTTCCACTACCTCTAGTTTTCAGTCACTATCCTTTTTCTAATCCTTAACGTAGAGGTTTGGATAGTTATATTTGAATCTAATAAATGCAAAACCATGCACTTCTTTAGGGATAACTGATGTGGAGTGATATTGAGCTCTTTTGTTGTGTTTCATTTTGTCTGTCTTTATATATGCTTTAGCCTATTGGGCTTTTTCTTTTAATGTCTTAAGTTTAGTTGGAAACTGGTCATTTTTAATAATATAGTGAAGAACTCTGTGAAGTCTCAGGGCTGGAGAGATGGCTCCGTGGTTAAGAGCACTGGCTTCTCTTCCAGAGGACCTGGTTGTGGTTTGAAGCACCCACCTGGACACACTCAACCATCTGTAACTCTAGATCCAGGACATACAGTGCTGTCCCTTATAGTCTCTACTGGCCCGGCACACACATGGTGTACAGATATACATGCAAGCAAAACTTACCTTCATACAAATTTTTAAAAGAATGTAGTCTCCCCCAGGTTTTAGTGTTTCTTTTTTATTTGTTTGTTTGTCTTTTTATTCCATTGGCTTTCAGAGGCCACTCTGCAATAGCTGTATGTTTGTGGAGGAGGGGGCTCAGGTGTGGCCGCCACAGTCTTCCCATCGCTCACTCTTGAAGTCGGGACGTGATTACTTGGATTTCTGCAGTTATCTGGAAGCAGTAAGTTCCTCAGGAGTTTTGGATGTGTGTTGGGGCTCATCTCCAACATCAGCTGTGTGGTTCTTAGCTTGGTCACAGCCTGATTCACCACCTGCTTGCATCAAGTGTGTGCACAATCCTGTGTGCCTGCATGGCTTTCTGGATTCTGCCTGGTTCTGTGGATGGTTGATTCTCAAACCAAGACTTTATAGTGTTACGTCACTCACTCAGGGGGCTCCTTTAATCAGTGAGGGCTCTACATTCAAGTCCAAAGTCATGTTTTTTCTACTCCTGAAAACAACCAGCATTCGCATTTCTCATCTCCATTCATTGGTAATCCTGGCTTTTCCCCAGCATGGAATTTCTCCACAGTGTGTCTGGGAGATGTTCAGGATTTAAGGCTTGGCACTAGGGGTTGGCAAGTTCCTGGGGCCAGAGACTTCAAGCTGTTTCTAAAAACACCAAGGCTGAATGGAGGGTCAGTCACCCCAGTGTCAAAAGCATAGTCAACTACTTATACATTCTCAGGACTAAGAGGGATGTTGAGGACGTAACAGACAACTCCAGTCATTCTTAAAAGCTGTCTCTAATGGACCTGTGCCAATCACTTAGACTGCAGAAATCGTATGATGATGAGGTGGGGCTGAATCAGTGAGTGGGGTGAGTCTAAGGGTTAACTCCTAGGATCAACTATACTGCTTTAAAAAACAAGAAAGAATTTTCCTGAAATCCTTCACAGATGGTCACGTGCAGTGACAGGCCTCACTGCTTCCCTAGGCTGCTCGCCCCTTCTCTGTTTCCCCTGCTCAGCAGCAGAGTCTAACACAGAGGTGAGTATTCTCTACTGTGCACCGGCATCTAGACCCTGGCTTCACTCCTGCTGAAATGTGTAACTTTGCCTTCTTACTTCTCTTTCTAAATCTATTTTCACACTTGGAATTGGAGGAAAGGATGACAGGTTTGGAGGTTATTGGGCAATGGGCTTTAACTGGTATCCAACATTGCCATTGGAGGAGCTCAGCATCTTAGTAGCTGGCACGGAAGATCTCCCATATAAGGAACCTAATCTTATATGGCACGCTTATGCCCAAGGTTCTTCTCTTTTGGCTCACTTCCTTAGTCTGTGATTTGAAATCATCACACACAGCAATGCGCTGCCTCTTTCCACTTCCTGTACTCGGTTCTGTGGTCTTGACTCCATTCTCCATCCTATGTCCTCTCCTTGAACTATGAGACACTCTCCTCTCCTTCCTGCTCCTAGTGTGTGAGGGTTTCCAAAGTGAGACCCCAAGTCTCTCATGCTAGAACTTACGAGTCTCATGATCTGACTCCTTTGTATTTTGTAAGCAGTTGTTCCACATTGTTAGTCCATCTTAAGCCTCATGTGAATGACTAAATGTGTAGAGTATGAGTTCAACTTCCCCCTCAACCCTGTTAAAAACAGGATTGTTAGCATCACCTCAGTAACCCAGGCTCCTCAAGCCCCTCTACCCCCTCAATGGAAATGTATCAGGCAGCTTAATTCCCCTAGACTACTTAATAAGAAACAAGATCAAGGTTAAGGAGATAGATTACTGGGTAAAATGTCTGCCATACAAGCACAGGGACCTGAGTTTAGATACCCAGAACCCCTGTAGAAAAGAAGCCAGGTTTCGGTGGCACATGTCTGTAAACCCAGTCCTGGGGTCTAGTGGACAGGCGGATCCCCTAAGTTCACTGGCCATCAGTCTAACCAAATCCATGGGCCTTAGGTTCAGTGAGGGACTCTGTCTCAAAAAATAAAGATGGAGAGAAACTGAGGGAAAATACATAGTATTGACCTCTGACCTCCACATTCACACATGTGTGCATCCACACACATGGGCAAACATCCACACTAACAAGCACAAACACCACATGTACACAGCACACACCAAAAACTACCAAAGAAAAAGAGCAAGAGAAACAAGAGCTCCGGAATCTAAACCCACAAAGCAGACTTTAGGCAGCTGATGTGTAGCAGGCATTTGGACACTTCCTTTTTTTGTGACTCTCACCCAACAGTCTAGGCAAAGCACCATAAACCCATTTTACAGATGTGAATCTGTGAGGTCCCCAGATTGGCACACAATCACATAAGTAATAAGCTACAAGGGTAGGGGCCAAGTCTGGGGGATTTATCTGACTCCAGAGTATACCTTCTTTCTCTGGTCTCTCTTTTTGCTCATGGAGTCTATGAATAGTTAATTCCCAAGCTTTGAAGTCTGTAAGAACCACATAGAAGAATACATTAAAAACAAATTTTACTCTCACTCTCCACCTCAGAAGTCAGCTGGTTCAAACAGAACCCAAATGATGACAACATCAACAAATACACTAATATAGAAAGAGGAAAACCTATGAGGCCCCACTCCTAGACAAAGAACTACAGGCAATTAATATCTGCTAAGAGAGAGGAGCTTAGTCTTCCCCAGGGATGAGTGCCCTAATCGGTTATCCAACACCAAGTAGTCAGCCCCCAAGTCATATACATACAGTGGACACTACACAGACTCAGCGGCTTGTATTTACATATTTATGCATTTTTAAATACACATGTAACAAAGAGAAATCAAAGAAAAAGAGGGCATGGATTTGAGTAAGGGTTAGTACATGGGAAGGGTTGGAGGGAGGAAAAGGAAGGGGGGAAATTATGCAATTATGTTTTAATTTACAAAAATAAGGTATTTTTAAGGAAGACATATCAGGTAATGTGGGGACTGGTCATGATGTATCACACCTCCCCTGCCACCCAAGCTAGCGGACAATGAGATTCAATGTCAAGCACAACCACTGGTCAGCACACATACTGACAGATGGACGGTCTAAGGGCAAACACTGCTCTCAGTCACTAGGTCTTTGTGCTTAAAAGGGACTGCCCAGTCTGAAGCCTAACACTGCCACCCATCAGCCTCTGTTCTTGCTTTCCAGATCTGGCTGGAGGAAACGGGAAACCCCAGCATGGGTGTTGCAACAGCAGATTACGTAATGTCCTGGATCCCTACATTCCCTCCCCCCAGGGGAAAGAAGACATTCCTGGGTTGCCTGCACTGCCTTGTCACACAGCAAGAGTGTGTTCTCCATGGTACCCGTGGCCGCATCACAGGCAGAAGACCCCATTTCCTCCTCAGTCCCTCTGCACTAATACCAATCAAACGCTGTCATTTAAGAGCTGGCTTTGCTGACCTCCGAGCATTCCCATCTTTACCCAGTCATGCAAACCTCTTCCTTAAAGGCGCCCTTCTTGATCACAAGACAAAAAGAGAAAACTGCCTTTTCCTTCCTTTTCAGCTATGAGTAATGATCCGTGCTCTCTTGCGGTTAATACACAGAGTCAGGCTTTCTGCTGAAACGGCCTGGAGTTTAATGAGAAGTTCTTTGACTCTGGCTGCATGTTGTTTGTTCAGCAGGGTGTGAAGGATGCAGTGATGGAGTTAGCCTGTCCCTGCAGCTTTAAACACATTTACTCAAAGCTTGGAAATGTTACTTCATTATCAGTAAAACAAGGAAAGTGGTCCTAATCTCCTACTGGTTGTTGAGACTTGTTATACAGAAGGTGCAGCCGAGCTGCTGGGTGGAGTGGAGCCTCCCTGCAGGCTGCCATCATTCTCTGCATCTCAATACACACTATGGTCCCTAAACAAGTGGCATCTGTGTCACTGGGGGGCTGATGAAGAATGCAGGACTCCAAGTACACCAAGGCCATACTGAATTTATAGTTTCACATGCTCCCCCTGGAGTTGGAACTTTCTCTCTTCTCTCTCTCTCTCTCTCTCTCTCTCTCTCTCTCTCTCTCTCTCTCTCTCTCTCTCTCTCTCTCTCTCTCACACACACACACACACACACACACCAGGGAAATGGCTATCTATCTAACTAGTAGGTAGAGCATGGTGACAGCTTTCCTTTAAATAATTTATTTTTTACATTCTAATCCCAGTTCCCCCTCCCTCTTCTCCTTCCACTCCCTCAATTCCCTCTGCTCCTGGGAGAGGGTAAGGCCTCCCCTAGGAAGGCTACTAAGTCTGTCCCATCATTTTGTGAGGCAAGACCAAGGCACCTCCCCACCCCCCACACCTCTGTGTCTAGGCTATGCAAGGTATATCTCCATATAGAAAGGGCTCCACTAAGTTTCTGCATTAGAGTTAGATCCTGGGTCCACTGCCAGTGGCCTCACATAATTGTCCCAGCTGCACCATTGTCACCTATATTAAGGGAGTCTAGTTTGGTCTTATGCAGGTTCCCCATTTGTCAGACTGTGATCAGTGATCTCTCATTAGCTCAGGTCAGCTGATTCTTTGGGCTTCCCCATCATGGTCTTGACTCCTTGGTGACAGCTTTCTAACGTACTGTTCCATAATCTTTTGATGCTTTTAGGCATCACAGCTGAATGGACCAAACAGATCTTCTATCTTCCCAAGTGAGTGATCTTCCTTAATCAGACCTCTGATCACTTCATGCTGCTGTGTGTTTATGGTTCTCTGTCCCTCAAAGTCCCATCTTCATGGAACATCCCTCAAGGCTTTAATCACCTGGCTGCAGTCTACCTTTCCAACCTCATTCTTCTCTCACTTTCGCTACAGCCTCTGCTACATCCAAACTAGGCAGGCCTGTCCTTCCCTGAGGCAGCTTTCCCCTCCACGTTCCTTACCACAAAATTGTTCCCTGGCTGTCCCTCTCCTTCACCCCCTTTCCTAGGCTTCCTCAACTTTTATTTCCTCTGCCTCCACACCCTATTAAGCTTTCAAGGTTTGGCTCCACAGTCACTGCAGAAATGTAGAGCTCCAGAGGAATGAGCATTCCAGAGCTCAGGGCACGTGTTTTTCCTGACCCAACAGCCAGTGTCTGATCGTGGGCAAGTTAAGCATTTGAGCTTCTCAGCTACCCAAGTCTTGACAAAGGCTGATAAAAGCCCCGGCTCAGAGGAGTGTTAGCAGGGTGCTTTGCCAGCTGCTGTGCCCAGAACTGGGGCCCACATGCAGTAAATGCTCAATAAACCTCCTCCAAACCCACTGCAGAGTCAGTGTGAGGGAGGGAGAAGAGTCTATGTCTGCTTTCGTCCTCACCGAGAGTCTGGAAGCTGGCCCAGCTTCTACTGCATTGTATGCACCGAGGAAATGTACTACTGTACACGGTAAGTAAGCAAATGTCTTTAAAGTATCAGGCAAACAGCAAGGGGCTATTTTGTTCAAAATTTGGTTTTGCTACCCAGGCTTGGATAGTAAGAGAGGTAAAGGACTGGGAGGGAGGCATCTTATGCATTTCTCACTATCACTATGGTTAACTTGATTCTGTTTCCCAACCCCTCAGAGGCAGGATATGACTTCCTCACATACAATACAAAGAATATTGACTATGAACGTTTTTAAAGACACTATTGCAACATCCTGTTCATTGTTTCAGTTCTCCTGTCACCATGACAACCTTCACCTCCCTCCCATAATAACTAGAGGTGTTGCAATCCTCCTTTGATCCCCTGGAATGGCCAATTAGTCCCTAAAAGCACATCACTCTATCCACATCCAATTATTAGAGACCTGTATCTGTCCTTGATCATCCTGCAGCTTTGAGGGATGGGCCGGAGAGATGCTCAGTCAGCAAAGTGCATGCCTTGTGAGCAGGAGGACTGCTCTGGATCCCCCCAGAACCCACATTTTAAAAGGCTAGCTGTGGCGGCATACAGTTGTAATCCCAACACTGGGGAGGAGGAGATGGGTTGATCCCTGGGGCTGGGTGGTCAGTCAAACCTATATGATGACCTCCAGACCAATGAGAGATCATATCTCAAAACACAAGATGGGTAGTTCTTGAGGAATGACACCTCCACACACATGTGTATCCATGGACACACACAAATACACACAGAAAGAGAAAGAGACATAGGGACAGAAACAGAGAGAGTTTATTTCCTAAGGAATGCAGAAGGATGGCCTCAGCAGGGTGTGTATCAACTAAGTGAGTGAAAGAGCAGGACAAACACTTTATCTTGAATGACAAAGACAGAAAAAGAGACCTTTGATGGGAAATAGCACTGTCAATGTAACTGTCTCCCGTTCTCTGCCCTGTCCACAGTGCCAGCCCTGTCCCCCCATTCTGCTTTTTGTGTCAGCCCAGTGGAGAGGCCTAGAGAACCTCAGAGACACCATCTGTCACAGAGAATCTGAAGCACAGCAGATGGAAGAATCCCCTGTGGAGTTTACCAAAGTGAATTCTGACTTGGGAGCTCTGAGTTGGGACCAGAGATTCTGGATTTTCACAAGCTCCCAGTAACCAAAGGTTGCTGCCAGTGACCACGATGTCTTTGAACTAACTAGCATCAGTGTAACCCTCCTGGCACCTGAAGAACTCAGACCTATTAAATGTCTGTTACCATTTACTGTATACTTACTCTGTGGCAGGTATTACACCTACTGTGTGACACATAATGTAAGAGTTTCTTCCAAGTGCTTATCCCCTGGTCCTTCATTGCTTGAGTGCAGGATTGTGAGGTTTAAACTGTGACTGGAGAAGTCATGACTGTGTTACAGCTCTGAAGGGAAAGGTATCCTAACAGGAATGTTACAGCTCTGTTCCAGCATGGGGAGATGGGATGGTTTCCCCAACAAAGTATTACAGTCGTTGCTCCAGGAAAAGATCTCCATGATGCAAGTGTAACAACTTTACTCTAGAAGGGGAGAGTTTCCCCAGTGAGGTTGTTACAGCTCTGCTCCAAAGAAATGTTACAGCTCTGCTCAGCTTCACTGCAGTGTGGCAATTTGGCTCCAGCATGGCAAGTTTCTCTAGTTCTCCTTTGCTCTGGCTCAACTCAGCTCTAGTGAGAGTCATTACAACTCTGTTCTGTTCCAGTGAAAGTTGTCACATCTCTGTTCTGCTCTGCTCCAAAAAAATAAAGTTCTTACAACAAACTTCACTCAAGATATTAATTTGGAGGGATGGATCCAGAAAAGTGGCTATCTCTGCCAGGATGGAAAAAGGAACAGGTACAGGGCTCATACAGGGATTCTTAGGGGCAGAGCTTTCTGGGGTGGAGATTTTCAGGGTGGGGATTGATAGGATCTCAATTCCTGAGCTTGGGACAAGCTCAGAGATTGGTTAGATTTTGTGCTTAGATATTGATTAGATTTTAATTCCTGAGTTGGTTAGGGACAGGGTATGTTTCTTTGGCTCTGGTCTCAGGGTCAGGGTGTTCTTTAAATGTCCCTTTTTACCCTACAATGGATCAATAAAAATGCCACCCACCTGAAAACTCTAGAATATGAGTGGGCAGCTGCTTTGTGGATTTCACTTCTCCCTGATAGTCTCATGTTTAGTCAGAGTGAGTTCCCCCACACATAGCCTCCAGAGGGTGAGAACTATTCAAGAGAAGAGGGCCCCAAATCGTCTTTATGGGGATTATCAAGGATGACTATATTAGGGGTGCATTTGTAGCCCCATACAAACAAGATAAAATAAAGGATGTGTATTTGTCCTCATCTCAGATAATGACTTTTGTGGTCCATTTTCCCCCAGTTGCCTTCTCCTCCAGGACACTGAGGTAAAGCACATTTCCCAGGTCCCTGCAGAGGGCCACAGACAAGTTCTTACTGAGGAGATGAGGGTGGAAGAGCCCTGACCACCAGAGAAGCAATAGTTTAGAGGAGGTGTGTCTCCACATCCCAGTCCATCTCTCATTTATGATGGACTCAGAGAATGCCAGAAAGAGTCCAAAGCCACAGCAGACACAGTAGGCAGAAGAAGCTGAGTTCCAGAATAGCCGAGTGTAAAATAAGGAACCTCACCCACAGATCTATTCTGGACTGTGCCATAAAGCCCCAACCTTTCCCTTGCTCATTCATAGAAACTGTGGGTCTGTTTGATACAAGCTTCCTCTTCTATGATAAGTAGATGGAATGAATATTGCTGGGTAGAGTGACAATGTCTACACATTTCCACAACTATTCAAGTAATTCCTTAAAATAACCTAGAGTCTCACATAAGGCACAAAGACCAGTGGAAGGGCGGAAGTGTCTGTGTATCTGAGGATCTGTGTAAAAGAACACAGGATGCAAACATTTCTTCCAACATTCCTGACCCTCATGCTACCTCCTCCCCATTCCTTTTTGTGGCATGAAACTCTGAAAACAGGGCGCACGCTTTACAGATGGCTGTGGTGACACTCTGATTTCTTACAAATGGAGAGTGAAACTTTGGAGCAGTTCAGCCTCATGGTTTCAGACGAGGAGGTGCTGAACCTTGGAAGTACACACCAAGTCTGTCTGTCATCTGTCAAAATGAGACTCCAGGATCAGACTTAAGTTGGATATCTGTATCATAACCTTTCCCCAGAAGGTGCAGGAAGCACTACAGAGAAGGGGACAGAAAGAGTGAAGAACAGAGGGAGTGAAGGATGGCTAGAAAATAAAAAAGCAGTGTTTTCTGGTCATGTCAGGACTTCCAGTGACTGTGACTGTCCTAGACCTGCCTAACATCAAAGCAATCAAGATTACAGAAAGTATAGGGAATGTTTCACTAAGCCCCACCCTTAGCTAAGGAAATGTTGACAATTGATGGCTGTGGGAGGGATGGAAAGTCAGTTATTTTTAGGCATGTGGCTTTTGGTCAGTTGACCATGCTTCAGTCCATGGTCCTGCACCCATGCTGGAAGCCCTAATTAGATTAGGTGTGTTTAAAGGAGAGAGGGAGGGAGGAAGGGAATGAGGGAGGAAGGGAGGGAGGGAGAACTAAAGAAGAAAAAAAAGGAAAGACTACACATAACAGGGCTAGAGATGGGAGGCCACTATCACAGGTAAACTAGAACAAAGTGGTTTTTTCTTCACCCTCCTGGGGCCAGAAGATGCCTGGATCTCTGTTAACAGTTCTGTTTCTTTTACAGTGAATTCTCAGTGTGATGAGTCATCCTTTCTTGGGAACTTCCCAGGATTCCAGATGGTTCCTACATAGAGAGGACAGAGGGTGGAGGAAGGACAGACCCAGGCCATCTCTGACATCACAGATTCAGAAAAAAAGAATAGACCCTGGTCAAATAGTCCCAAGATAATCTTGAAAACTAAGGCAGAAAAACTCCTTGTCACTCAGTTTCTAGACTTGCAGAGAGTGACATCTGCCCTTTCTGAAGTCAAAGGAAGTACCATAAAGTGTCCCATTTCAGCTGACGATGAATAGTCCCCATCCCAACTCCCTTCATGCTTCCAGACAGCATAGGGTATGCTCACCACAAAGGATAAAACTCTAAGCAAAGCCAGTGTCCGTGATCTGAAACCCCAGAGCTGGTGTTGTTATCCTTTGAAACAGATCCTATATGCTGGACAAACCCTGCAGCAGTGGGTGACATGATAGAACTCAGTTCATTTTGGGGGGCCCATAGGCCCTGAGCTCCTTGGTGTCAAGGACTTGGCCCTTGCCATCAAGGTGTTACAAGGACATAGTAAACACTAAGTGGAGTCCTTGACAACTGAGAATAAGGACTTAGTACTGAATGCTTAGTTTACAGAGTGTATAGACCTAGCTAGGCTATGAAGAATGGTCTCCAATGCATGGAAGGCCTAGTAACCAACTGTTTGACAAGAGAGTCCAGACCCTTGACTCTTCATTGAATGCCTGAATCACTAAAATAAATAAGCTACATCCAATAGCTCCAAAGGTCTGATTTGAGGTTAAATTTTCTTCCCCTACCTCATTATTTTAAGCAGCCTCAGGCATCTGGAATTAAATAAATCAAGCCAGACACAGAGACTCAGAAGTGGCAAAGCAAACCAACAGATGTGGTATGTGAGCCAAACACCAAAATAAGGCCTTGGAGCTTGCATCTCAAAGCCCAAATGAGCAGAAAACATACCGAACATCCAGGAATCCAAGTGAAGCTGCATTTCCAAGCTTAGCAGGGAGCAGCTGAGACACAAAACAAGGCCCCTGTTCACACATGTCCCTGGCCTCTGCTCTGAATGGCATGTCCCAACCATTGCTCTTACCCTCTTAGTCTCCACTATCAGTAATGACAGCATTGGGATAATTATTGTGGATGCTCCTTGCATTTGAAGCTCTGAATAGCATTGGGGCTGTGTGTACAGAAAGCAGCACAGTGTGTAGAATGTTCTGGAAGGGTGTTTGCTAGAAGAGGAGATTTGCATACCATGTGTGTCAGCAAGCACTCACTGAATCTTGCACCTGTGGTCTATTAGCATCGTTTCCCTGGGCAGATTACATCCTTTAGGGTCTTCATCTGTAAGAGGAGACTGGTGACAGAGGTTTTCTAAGCTCATGTGACGTGCCCTGCAAGAATGCCTCACACATAATATGATGCACTGGTTAATGAACTCGAGCCCATTTCCTTTCCATTCATCGGAATCTTCCATTTTTCATTGCTCTTCTTCATTGGTCGCTAATATTGCTCCTTCCCTCTAGAGACCCCAATGGTCTTGAATATCATAATGTTGATGTTCACTGAGGAAACCTTAAATTAAAACACATTTAATCTAATATCTTTTGTGCTCATCTCTTTCCCATTGGTGGTCTGACTCTGATCATCTCAGTTCGGCTGGGTTCAAACAGTACCAAGAAGCCCTACTGTGTGCTGGGCACTCTAAGAGCTTTGAGTATAGCTCAGTGCTGACAAGGATGCTTGCTAACAGGAAAGAGGCTTGGAAAGAAGGAGATAGCGTGACACAGGTCTCTAACTGTGAGCTTTCTTTCTTCCTCCAGAAGGGACATCCTTCCCCAGCAGGTGTCATCTTTCTGTCCCTATTGACCATGGCAGATAGACATGCACACTCCTTTTAACAATACACAGAGGACTTAGCGCTTCCTCCCTGCTACTATGCACATCCTTCCTCACATGACTTCTGTCATTCTTCCGTCCCGATGAGTCTATATGTGTGCGCACGTACCCCCCCCACACACACACAGCTCCATAAATGGGCATTTGCTGGAAAGACATAAAAAGAATCTTGTCCCTTCCAATTGGGATGGCTCTGACAGCCCAGAGAACAGTTCAAATAAATCTAGCTGAGTGAATGAGTTTCATTCAGGTTTACAGAGTGGTGGCTGACTCGGGCAGCTGCTCTACTTAAGTCCCTCCTGCCTTTGACTCCAATGTTCTTTTATCTAGGGCAACAAGCAGGTAGTGAGTGTGATTAATGGTCCCTCCAGGGGAGCAGGTGTTTGTAGCATTGGCATCCTGACTCTAAGGAGGAAGCATTGACAGTCTCTGAGCAATTAATCTCTTCATTTCAGTGTATAGTATGCTTATATTTTTGCCTTTGCTATGGCTCAGAGTCTCTGAACATTCACCACGGAAGCTGTTGGTACTAAATGGCCATTACTTACTACAAACACACACACACACACACACACACACACACACACACACACACACCATGAAAGTGATGGTGACAGCTGTCTGAAGACAGACGCTTCAGATCATTCTAACTACATCTACTCTAAACAGATGTTCAAACCTCAACAATAACAGTGGCAGACACATTTTCTAAACAAATTTCATTTTCCCACTCTGTCAACAGGGGTTTTTCTAAAGCACTGAAAATGAATTGTGCTCATTTCTTTCCACGTTGTGTATCTCTGCATCTCCTGGTCAAGTACCAGGAACACACAGGCATGAACCGCACGCACCCACGCTCACATACACACACACACACACACACACACACACACACACACAGAGAGAGAGAAAAACAGAGAGAGAGACAGACAGAGACAGAGAGACAGAGACAGACAGACAGACATGGTGCCTGGGAGCAACTGGCCTTGCTGTGATACCACCTCATCTTCATCTTCTCAACCTGCTAGATTCCTGTGACTTCCCTCTGCATGTCCTGGACAATAGCATCCTCTCAGCAGGGTCTCACCCTGTGTACCTGAACTTGATGCCATAAGACCTAACCCGTACAGT